AGAGAAAGGGAGTAATTCATATTCGGGTGGTTAAATGGGTTTCAGGTCCTTTATTAAATCACTGAAAAGCAAGATTTGTGCTTATTCTGCACAGTACTCATGACAAAAGTTATTCTTAATTATCATGAATTGCTTCAGAAGTGTTTATTATAATAGCCTATCTCAGGAATTTTCTCCTCCCACAAACCTGCTTGACCTTGAGGCCTTCCATTGCAGGATTGCCTACAAGAGGTAAATAATGTGTGCTCCTCATGCCCACTCACAGTGGTTTATGAATTCTTTGATGACATTGAGACCCTCCAGTTTCAGTTCTGCATCTAACCAGCACTTCTGGCAAGTCATTTTTGTTTTGCTTCTCTTTGGTTTTCTGCATAGGGAAAATGTATGGATGCCCAAGAAATAGCAGTTTTCTGTTCTGTACTAGCATCATCCTGCCATACCATTGTGCCATGCAGAGGTTATGTAGAAGAAAAGAGGGAAAGAAAATGCTCTTCACTCGTGCTCTTAATTCGGAAATGAAACTGAAGGCAGGTACAGCAAATCAACGGCTGAATGACAGCCTCATGTAGAAAAGCTCTATTTCTATCTTTTAGTTGTGCCACTGGATCTAAGCAAGAGAGGTTTGCCTCCTTGTCTGCTTTTGAACAGGTTTGGTTTTATGTTGGAAAGTGTTTATGGGATTGTATCCAGTGTTAGTCCTACTTAGAGTAGACACATTGAAATAAATGGGATTTAGTTTAACAAGGGCACAAACCATATCTAATGCCATTGCTGTCACTGAAGGTTTTAACAATGCTTCTTTTGTTTTAGTACTGTTTCAATACTGTTAGTATTGTTTTTAATCTTGTGTGATATATATTTGTATTTGTATGCTGCTATTAATTTGATTTGGTCATACAAAGGCAAAGTTATACTTATTACAATAAATAAAAAGTAAATATGGTGGGAAAACTGCAGTAGTAGCTGTACATGTTATGTGAGATGAATCTGAGATTGAAATAATCAACATATTTGCATCCACATCTGCAGAGAAATTTTCACATTTTTCTCAAAGGAAGTGTTAGTGAGATGACCAAAAATGAACGTGTGCAGTTTTAGCCGCATTGTGAAAGCTCTGGGTCTCAAAGGCAGCTATTCTTTTCTGCCAAGAGTAAATAGAAGAAAGTGTTGCTATGAGATGATGCACCCAATGGCTTTATTGCTTCTCGAATGGGGAAATGTATGAAAACAAATGTCAACAGTTCAGATACTACTTCTTAGTACACAAAGCTAAGTAAACTTGTGGCAACGTATAAATTACATTGTGAAACAACTAATAGAGGTGTAGGTGGCTACAGTTTTTTACAATTCATCAGAGATTACAGTACTATAGTAATTTAGCCAGGAATAGTCACGGCATCACACTGGGATGGCCACGTGTGCCATACATGCTGAAAAGTCTTCAATGTGGAAGCTGGAGCATGCAATTCCTTGACATCACCAGAACTGGTCTTTATAACCAGGTATTCTGCAAATCAAGTATACACAGAAGGGAGTGGAAGCTTCCTACAATCTTTGAGTGTCCCTCACTTCTTTCAAGGAACCTTTATTTATAATAAAGTTTATATGCTAGGTATCAATTAGCTTGTTAGTTAAATGCAGTAAATTTGACAAAACCAGTATTATTTTCTGTTTAGCCAAGGTTAGCAAACACAGTATGGTGCTTTTGACAGCTCAGGAGGATCAAGTGATACTATAACAAGACCTCAGCACCTAGTAGTCCCAACCACTGGCCATGCTTGCCATCACTGAAGAAGACTGAAGTCCCAGAAAATTGAATCTGGAGGGCACCAACTTGGGGAAAGCTGCTGGAGACCTCTTTACAGCAATGCAGAAGGAAAACTCATCCAGGTCTCTTGCTTAAATATGCCACTGAGTAGTGACAAACATGCCTGCCAATTCCCTAGCAAATGCCCCAAATTGATTATTATATTAGTATTTTAAGTTCATTTTTTCACATTTAATATCTGAAGTGACTAAATATAGGATATTATTTCAGTATTAGAATTTTGGAGAAAGAACATCTACATTCCCTTTAAATAAACAGCACTATTCATGATTCCAGAACACAAAGAGGAAAAAATACCTGATAAAACTGTGGATAGTATTGTAGAATACAGAAAAAGAATGTGGGATATTTTTATTTATCCTAATAGCTATCAGTGCAATCCTATACATGCCTGCTCACTTGAGTTCAGCAGGCTGATTCTCACCAAATGTGTTTAAGTTTGTACCCCATATACTGAAAGATAACTGCATAAGCACTGTTGCTCCTATAATAGGCACTAGTTAACATGCTTTTTTAATATGGTGGTTAAATTCCTTTTATAATTATCCTGAATATTCCCATAATCTAAGGTAAATATATATTATTTAACTTGCAAAAGTAGTTCACAATAGCATGGACCTTGGAAAAGGTCACTGCACCTCAACTCATTGTTCAGGGCTTACAGTAATGTTTTCACATTCATAAATAAATAGAGTTTGCATTCTGCAAGCATAGATAGGTTCCTGGCTGCTCCTGGACAGATGGATGGTTTTTCAGTGCCAGGCATAATGATTCAGCATTGCTGACATTAGCAGCCACACAAAGACTTTGGCAATCTCCTCTGGCAATCTCCTCAAGTCAGAGTGGAATCTGTGCAAGTGGCACAGGCAGACTGAATAAAGCGTGCTTGTGTGCACAGACACACGTGCACACTCCTATGCCTAGCATATGACTAATTACTTTCCTGGTGTACCCATGAATCAATTCTTCTCTTTATGTACATGGAAAGCTAGAACAACAGGAAGATGAGCCAATCCCATAATGTATGCACATTTCAATAATGCAGTCTGTTGCTATGTACCCTCAAATCTTCTTAGACTTGCGACAACCCTATGAAAGAATGTCCTCCAAACGTCCTGTTCTTCACAGCCCAGCTCTGCTCTCATAAAATAAGACTGTGGCTTCCTTTATGAAACTGATCCACCTCATAGATGGTCTTCCTTTTCTCCTGCCTTTGACCTTCCCTAGCATTATTGTCTTCATCCATCTTGTCTTCCCATAATGCGCCTGAAGTATGATAGTTCTGGTTTTTTCATTTTTGCTTCCAGGGAATGTTTAGGCTGGATTTGATCTAGGACCCACTTGTTTGTCTTTCTGTCAGTCCAGCAGATTTGCAAAGCTCTCCACCAGCACCATGTTTGGAATGCATCCACTCTCAAGGATCTTTTGCAGTTCCTTCACTGCTGTCCTTCCAAGTCTCAGTATTCTTCTAATTTCTTGGGTGCAGTCTCTCTTTGAATCTCAGGCTGACCTGAGATATGTGAAATCTCTCACAATTTCAATCGTTAGTAAAAGTTCTATATTTTTGAGTTTTTTGAGTTTTATTCAGTTGCAGTCCTGTTTTTATACTTTCTTCCTTCACTTTCATAGGATTCATTCAATTAATTGCTGCTTTCTTCCAGCAGTATGATGTCATCTGCATATCAAAGTAGTGATGTATCTTCTGCCAATTTTCACTCCTCATGTGCATCATGCAAACTTACTGAAATATTGCAAAGAGCCACCATTGCTTTTCCCCCCATAGCAATGTTATCAGTGTTATCTAAATGGGATATCGTGCTACTGGTGGTGGATTATGGATTGACTACAAAAATATTTTGCTAAGGTTAAAATATGGTCAGACCACATTTTAGAAAGAAGTTGTTAAAAAGACCCAGAGTGGACATACTATGAAGAGTTTCCACAAGCAGATTTGGGGCAGTGGCATTCAAGTTTATTATTGTTTATATAAGGCATTTTTCCCTGTTTTTATGCCGACTATTTCAGAACCCATATGTAAGAGAGAAAGAGAGAGAGAGAGATGGATCCTGCAATCATGTTGACAAAACAAAAAGACAAGGGTATTTATTTATTTATTTAGAAAATTTCTAGGCCGCCCCATTCGCCGAAGCCTTGGGGCGGCTTACAAATAAATAAAAATACATAAATTAACAATATAAAACACATATAACAGTATAAAATAAGAAAAGGGAAAAGGAAGATGGGAGGTCAGTTTTTCATGCCAGAACAAGGTGGTGGACTTTTAAGACACAATCTAAAACTATTTTAGACAGAAAAAGGCCTACAAAGCATGCTGGGAGGTTGAGGCCTTGGTCTGTCTAAGCTTGTTTAGGATTGCACCCTTGATGCAGTCTGGTTGAAAGGCTAGGAGGTAGGCATGATTTAGGGGGATTCAATAATTGGTAATATTCTCCTGTACCCTCACCATTGAAATATGTGAGAATTATTCAAAACTCATTGCTACGGGGTGGGGGTTGCCACCTGGTTTTTCTGCAGGAAGGGTGCCTCTCAAATGCAAACTTGCAAACAGCGGTCCAGCTTAAGTCCTGTTAACCTCCAACCATGCACTGGGCTGCAGCCCAAGCCTTTGGCATCCTTGCCAGGCCCTCGACATTTACTGGAAGCAGAACATGCCACAATCGTCAAGGCTACGGGATACCGTAACCCTGAGGTAACCGCAAACCTTCCACGGCTGCAGAGCTCAACAGGGAAACCTTAGAGGGGCGAGCGAGGGGCGAGTTGCTTCTCCTCCTCCTCCTCCTCCTCCTCGGGCGCGGACCATTCCCACCCCGGGGGCGGAGGGGGGAATAGCAGAGGGAACGGCTCCGCGCTCTGACTTACTTTGTCCTCGCGCGGCCCCTGTACCGCCTGTGGTGCCCAGGCTGGGGGAACGCGCAGAAAAGTTTCTGCAAGTGCGAAGGGTCCACACAGCGCGGATGGGAGCCGCCGCCGTCACCACGGAAAGGCAGCTGGGGTGAGCGGCGTGTGTTCCGGGGGGAGGCGCGGTGTCGAGTACGGGCAAACTTTGCAGCTTGAACGGGCAGCGAGTCGCTGTCGCTCGGGCCAGAGAGGCGGGCTGCTGGTTGCCGGGTTGCCATGACGACGGCGGCGGCGACCAGGAGGATGCCGGCTGCTTGGGGCGCTGCTGGTTCCAATGAATGAGGGAAGCGCAGCATCTCCGCCACTGGTTGGAGCGGCGGGGCCACTCAGCGCTGTGTGGAGGACCTGACCGGTGCGTGTGTTTACCAGAGTCCTTCCATCGGGGTCTGCGCCATCCTGAGGTGTGTGTGCCCCGGGTCACTTATTCGGGCATTTTGTTAATTTAGCACTTCTACGCGGGGCAAGTTTACTAGTCCGTTGCAGCAAAGCAACCAAGAGCCTTGGGACAACTCAAAGCTATTAAAGTCAGAAGGTCACAGGTTTTAGTGGACGGGAACTCACTTCATTAGATTCAAGAAGTGTTGTCCTAAGTTACTGTGCATATGGTTGTAGAAAAAGTAATCGGCATTTGTAAGCAAGGAAACCGAAGAGGAACGGGCTGTAAAATGCAGACTGTAGCAATTCTGTAAAAGCTTAATAGTACAGTTCTGTATAGATTTACTCAGATGTATGCCCCACTGAGTTGCTCCCAGAAACATAAAGGATTGCAGCCTAAGTTGCAATCCCATACACACTTCTCTGAAGCTAGTAAATCTCATTGAACTGAGAGTTACTTCTGAAAAGATGTGTCTCCAATCACACTGTAAATGTATGCAAAATTTTTGGTGTCCATTTACGAAGCAGTGATGATGATACCACAAATATCCTGGCATTAGTAAGCTAATCCAGTAGTGGAATAAAACCCATTGTAATTCAGGCCATGGTTAACAGTAATGAACTTAATAAGTTCACTTTAGCAGTTGTGGAGTTTCTGTTTGAAGTTCTCTTGTTCAAGTGTCCTAAAAACTGGACTGTTCTCCCACTGGCTTCCGAATGCTGCTATTTTTGATGTCAGCTTTGTGAGCCTTGTGTAACATGCAGAAATTCAGCTCATGAAGGCATTGAAGTGACAAAAAAGTTTTGGATGTAGATATTCATTTGCCACATAGGCACAAGAAAAGAATTGTGCTAGAAAAATATTGTTGGTGTTGTTGCTTTAGTCAAAAACAAACTGCCACATGCCCAGAAATGTTTCTCTTTTGTGTGTCCTCAAATTCTTCTGGCAGAGGAAGCAAGTTCTGGGAGTTTAGTCCTGCACAAATTTACCTCTGCCTTTTCTCCTGATGCAATTTGCACTAATTTTTAGGATTTTGTTGTCATTATTCCTGTCATGTTTCAGTAAAACTTTGCTATTGTAGCTTTCACAAAAAATAACTGACTCAGGAAACTTTTCCACAACTTGTACTATACAGAGTTCAATTCATGTAAATATGCTGAGAACTCTAGCCTTAGAATATTTTCATAGATGAAACATTAACTGTTTAAGATTGTTGTTCATGGGCGACAGCAAGTAGAGGATTAACATTTGGCATGCAATGTAAATTCAATGTAACATTTGGAATGCAAGTGTACTGCTGAAACATGACTTGCTTTAAGCCTTGGGTGTAAATACACTTTTGGATTTAGTATATTTTCTTCCTAAACATCCAGCCTAAAACTCTTTAGTTATTGTAAATTTCATGTTCTTTCTGTGGCACTTACATTTCATTTTTTTTGTGCATACTCCCCCTTGTGGGCTGTGTCTGTCTGCCCATCTTTAAGATACAAGGCAAAGAAAATATTTGGCTTGTGAAAAATAGCAATTTTATTATTTATGTGAATCAGCTTTGGGGTCACCATTCACTAGAACTTTTGTATTGAGGTTGGAATGGCTGCGATTATATCATTATATTAAAGGAGATGGAATACTAAATACATTCTTGTTGCAGTAAGATCACTGAAATAGCTGAATTGCATCCAATAGTGTCCTAGCAGAAAGGGTCAGGGAACCCTGCAGACATGTAACACTGGGTTTAGCTCTTTTCATTGCACTTGTAAAGTGGTGGGGCCCATGGAAACTGTCTCATGGATGGAGGGGTCCCTTGATCCAGTGAAACTTCTTGTTTGAGTAGAGATGTGACCAGGAGTGTTTTTGTCCAGTTGAGCTTAGTATGCTACCTGTGCCTGTTCCTGCAGATGTTTGATCTGGTCATGGTGACACATGCTTAATTTGGCCCCCTTTTGTACTACTGTAGAACACTTGATGTGGACGCTACTTTGAAAACTTTGGTTGTGAGCCGCCTCGAGGCTTCGGCTAATGGGGCGGCATAGAAGTTCCCTAAATAAATAAATAAATAAATAAAACTGTGGAGTTGATTTAGAATGCAGTAGCCAGATTATTGATGAGGAGTAGTTATAGCGAACATATGACTCATATGATCGCAAAGCTTCACTGACTAATACTCTGTTTCCCTGTGGGACCAACACTTTCCCATGTGTGCTTCCCCAGGTTGTAGGATCCTTAGATAAGACACATCTCTTGGTCCCATTTTACATTTGTATGTTTGTTAAGGATGCAAGAGATGGGCTTCTTGGTGGTTACTTCCAGGCTCTGCAGCTCTCTGACAAGGGTGGCCAGATTGACTCCTTCTCTGTTGTCCTTCCATTGGTAGGCAAATACAGGATGTCCCAAAAAAATTGACATCATTTTGTAGTCTAATAACATAGCCAATTCTCGCTCAAATGATCTCAAATTTTAACAAAATGTGTAAAAACTAACTAGTGTTAGTTACGCAGTGTTACACAAGACATGCTACAGAGTGTTTGGCAGGAGGTGGACTACTGACTTGATGCGTGTTGTGTCACAGGCGGTGTGCATATTTAACATTTGTGAAGCTTTGTGAAACCAGTTATAAAATCTACTTTCCTTTGAATCTCTTGTTCAAATTTTGATAAATCTTTTATTGTTCAACATGAAGCCTATTTAATTTCGTTTGCCTAGGACATGTAGTTACTCAGATATTCACATTTCAAATAATGTCAAATTTTTGGGGACACCCTGTATATTTCTACTCAGATAGGACTTTGGTATAAATGGATCAACTGCTGAAAGAGGTTTAGCTGGTTGGATGCTGACTGTACTGCTATTTTTGAAATTGATTTGTTTTAATGTTATGTTTTAATCAACATTGTATTTTAGTCTATGTTTTACTACTGCTATCTGACTTGAGTGCAATTTTTGGTAGACAGAGCAGGATACCCATTTAATAATAAATAAATACATATACAGCCCAGTCTTAAGGAGGACATTTACTTAGCAGGAATTATTCCTATGTTGCCTGCATCCCCTCATTTTGGATGCCTTGAAGAGGCAAAAGAAAACACCTGGATTGGAAAGTGGTCTCATCATGGGGTAAAATTTCTGTCAGTATGGTTTGGTAGGAGGGCTGTTATACCCTCTGCTTTAAAAGTAGCTCCATAGTCAAAGGAACATTGCTAGGAACATCTCTTCTTTTTGCCCTGCATCTTTCTGCTTGGATCCTCCACCAACTAGGCTGATAAAAGCACTCTGTACAAGAACTATGGCAAACAGCATGTTAATTTAATGGACCCTATTATTATTAAGGCCCATGTTCCTTCTCATGGATTTTAGACTATGTGGTTTTCATAAAGTAGACCCCAGGACCCAGCTGGGCTGGGATCAGGCCTGATTTTTAGACTTTCTTTTGCTCAGACCCATGTAGTGTCGGGATCCCAAATTAGGGACTTTGGGCATCAAGTTCTGTGCTTTGGAGAAGTTTCATATGCTGTATTTGCTGTTGAACATCTCTTAGATTTAAAAAGCTTGGACTCACAGAATCCTGTGCTTTCAACATAGTGTACAAGTTGATACAGATCTCTCTGTAGATGCGCAGATTAATTTGGATCTTTCACTTAAACCCTGGTTTTTGATTGGCAGCGGTGTTTGGCTTCAGGAATTATTTAACCCCTCTTCTATACTCTGAGCTGCATAGTTTACAACTGGGAATCCATGTTGTTATGGGTGTCTAATAAAACTGTTGTTATTAGCTATAACACTTTATTATACTGGTGCCTGTGGCAATAAATAATCTTCCATATGCTTTCTAAATGGTGTAACTTTAAAGCTTTTCCCTTGAGATTGCTTGGAATTAAAGCATCTTGCTGGCTGAGAGTCTTCTGTGTCCGATTACCAAAGTGATCATCTGTAGGCCTGAGATCCCAACATTTTGTGGCCTTTAATTCCATTGACCATACTGAACAGGCCATTCAGATTGGGGATTGGAGGCTCTCCATTCTGGTTGTTCTATTTCTACCAGGAAAACCAGTTTTTGCAAAGTGTTCCTGGGATACTACTGCCCAACCCTTTTATAATAGGGAGATTTTGTAGGGTTCCATTTTCTTTCTCATGTTATTCCATGTTTACATGGGATCGTCTTGTTATTCATAACTAACAGTTTTATAGGAAAGTAAGTACAGACAGGAACCTTGTTTAGTACAAAAGTTTTACAAAGGTAATTAGTAATAGCTCTCTGCATAAGGTTAGGACAACTGTATTAATATTAGGTTTTTACTTGGTTCAGAAATATATTTACAGCTGATTAATGTCTGTGTGCATTTTAACATGGAAATAACACTTACAATTAGTGGTTTCAGTTAAGATATATAAACCTACAACTCCTGGAACTTGTTTGTGGTAGAAGAAATTTCTAGAAATGTATAGAATTTGCTTTGCAGCAGGGGGCCTCAAACGTTTCCACCAGGGGGCCAGTTGAAAGCTGCCGGTGCTGGGCGTGGGCCGGAAAGGTGGTGCTGGTGGCGCGCACGGGCCGGCGCAGGGGCAGAGCCGGCGCGCACAGCAAGGGGAGGCGAGGCATGGGTGGATGAGGGCCCGCACCGCAAGGCGGGCGCACGAGGCAGCGGCTTGCTCACTTGCTTGGAGATTGTTTTCTCTAAGCGAGCAGCCTCCCCATGCGCGGGGCGAGGTGGGCAGCGGTGTGTGCGCGCGGGGGTGCGGGCGTGCACGCGGCAGGTCCAAATGGGCATGGCGGGCTGGATCCAGCCCCTGGGCCATAGTTTGAGGACCCATGCTTTACACTGTCGTATATGTGTAATATTGATTGCACATTTTAGGTCAAATATAGCTTCTGTTACTCTAATGGAATTGAATAATTTGCAGTGTATGAGTTCTTTAAGTTGGTGATAAGTATTAATTTCAATAGTTGTAGACTAAACTGTCACTTCTGAAAAAAAATCATTTGTTATAAAATTGTACTATAAAATAGTACAGTGTTGTTAGTTTCCA